GGAGGCGACAAATGACAATATATTACGACGTGTAACAGGTTCATTGACCATCCCGACATAAAAACGAAAGGTATCATCGCGTATATTCCAACTTATGCCCAAAGCTCGACAAGTGGTATGATCGCCGTGCCCGATGTGTACACATGGCCCGATACAATTAAACTCAGGTAGCAGCTGAGCTAATGTTGAATCATTAGTAATCCACTCAGTCAAGTTGAATCCACCTTTTGATAACATATCTTTCAACTGAGTTGCTACTCGATAACTTGTCTCAGTATTGGGAGTGCTAATTAAACAATCGTCTACGTAGAAACTACGTGTAGCCATGTCGTAAACTTCCTTGTCATAGTTTTCCTTGTTATCTTTGATGGTACGATTAAGAGCGAACGTAGCACAACTAGGAGAAGAGGTTGCTCCGAATAGGTGGACTGTCATGCGAAGTTCTTCAGGGTTGTCAGTAAAATCTCCGTTCGTCCACCATAAAAAACGCAGAGCGTCTCTATCGCATTCGGGTACTTTAACCTGGTGGAACATTGCTTCAATGTCAGCCATTACTGCTACCCTTTCTTGTCTAAACCTAAGAATTACACCCAATAACGAATTAGTAAGATCCGGACCAGAGAGTAACCTGTCGTTTAATGATCGTCCTTCATGTTTAGCAGCGCAATCGAATACTATTCTAATTTTCTCTGGTTTCGCTGGATGGACGACAGGGTGATGCGGTAAGTACCATACGTTAGAGTTATCATTTCTGCGTATCACTTTATAAGGTAATCTTTCATTGCATCCGCATAGCGTCTAGCTAAGTCTTTAGAGGTACACAGTCGTTTGCGTAAAGCGTTCAGACGATGCAAACAATACGACTTATTATCCGTCCATTCTAACTGTGAATCTTTCCACGGGAGTGATATACAATAATGACAATCCTTTAACGTGATAGACTTCTCCATGATTCTGAGTGCGGTTCTATCTTCAATCGATAATTCTTTATCTTTAGACTGACCTTCCTCTAACAGGTCTTGCTGGTAGAATCTTTCAAGAGTACTTTCAATTTCTAAGAGACTGAGATGATTTGGCTTTATGTGACTTGTGACATGAGTACCAAGGGGTCCTATCAGTGTCCAACCAAATATGGTCTTTATCGCGTACGGTTCCTCTGGTCTTCCTAACCTTTATTCTAAATTTCCATGTGCTTCAGGAACATTGCAGCCAACCAGTAGTCCTATTCGCTTACTTTCACATCTCCTCAGGTCTATTCACTGCAGATGTTGCCACAATCGAAGCTGCTTCTCCTCTGGTACCACTCGCTTAATCTTAGGCAAACTGGGAACAACATATGCTCTTTCTATCCGAATTGACTCATCAGATTCGTGTGAGCTAACTTCTAGTTGTACCGCATTTGTCCGCATCTCTCTGTAACCATTCATAGTCTCTATCCGAACACGGGCATATTCTATAGGTAATTTTAAATCGTCGACAATATCCTTAAGTACCAATGTCGAGTCAGAGCCGCTATCCAAGAATGCTAAAGTTTCTACCGTACGGTCACGATTGCGGAGAATTACTGGGACCACTGCAAATGCCACCTTAGGTTCTTCATTTTCCGCTCGGGAATTTGAAACGTAATTAGTAGCAACATTCGCATTAGATAGTGAGACGTCCGTCGTAACATGCAACAATGTATGGTGCCTACCACCACAACCCTCTACGGTACATCCTCTGCGCAATCTACAATCCTTAGCTATATGACTAGTCTTTAAACATAATCGGCATAACCTTTTCTCCTTGATTAGATCTAACCTTTTATCTACTTCAAGGGATAGCAACGTTGGACACTGGTCTAGAAAGTGGTTGTCTTTACATAAGATACACACTAAATACCTTTCTTGACGTTGACTTGAAGGCGAGTGCATGATGTCGAGCACGTGGTGATGCCAACTCAACCGATTTACTTACTCTACCGTCTTCTATTTCAAGTCATTCTCAAACAGTAATGGATGATATGGATGTGAGGCGAGCGCGTTCATTATTGGATCGATGTCGAACCTATTTGACTCCAAGTGATTACACAAATATGATGTGTAACTTATGCAATCTAAGTCAAGCTATTCAAAATCCTATATTAGTCACTAGTAATCATGAACAGTCGGACAAAACTGAAGTATTACTTTCACTCGCATGTGTGCTAAATTGTTTGAAAAAACATTTATCATTATGGGAGGACTTTGTTTGCCTTCTCACTCCATCACAAGCCCGTAGTCTCTGTCTGTTATCTACATACTTCAATCTGGTACGAATCAACCGAGTCCAAAGAGTTTTACAGGATATTGTTCCCCGTGATAGGAGATTTTGGAGACGTCTTCGTAATTTGGCAGATAGCTGTAGCATGGAGGCACGTCATATTCCAGTCAAAAAGAAGGTATATGTAGGTCTAGGTGATAATAGTGCTCACGATCCTTCAAATAAAAATGAGCGAGACCGCAATGATTTTAGCGGAAAAGTATCCAGTGGGACTCAGAACATCCAAAAGCCATCTGTGTTAAAACCGGGTCAAAGTTCAAGTACAACCCAAAATAAAACCCGAACCAAATTCCGCGTTAGAGGTTTGCGGCATAGAAATATGCATAATGCATTTTCCAAAGCCTGGTCAGTTCTGGAAAGTAGCTGGCGCAACCGTCCTGTTCTCCTATCACGTATGGCCAGTCTTATTAATACGAGGCATAAGCCATATGTTGGTTTTGAACAGAGTTTTGAAGAATCAGATATACTTGCTCGTCATCCTGTAGGGAACTCAACTGATTCTGAGAAATCAAATCAAAATACAAGCATTTCAAATAATGAATACATCTCTCCTCCAATCAGCACTCTTTCTCCTCAGTTACGATCTTTTCTTTCGGAAGGTTGGGAAGTATGTACTGACCTAGCTTCAACAGCTCTCAGTCGAAATAACTCGTTTGGTACACCTTGGGTTCGTAAACAGTGTCCTTGCCGATGTCATCCTAATACATCATCAAACAGTATTCCAATTACAAGTCAATCTGGAAAACCTGCAAAAAAGGTCGACAGTCTTGGTCTAAGACACTGTATTTCCTGCAGTTTAAGAGTACATCGTGGCATTGTGTATGTTGATGAGTGCAATCTTCATCTGCGTCATGTAAAGATAACTTGGCCACCTGGTTTTAAACCAGGCAGCTCACAGCAGGCTCGATTTACTCTTCGTGTATGACAATCCTGAGGGAACATTTTGCATTTCGACGAGGAGAATCGTATCCCGAACATGCTCGGATTGTTGCTGAATGTAGTCAGAAGATCGCATTTTGTCAACATCTTCACGGAATAGGACTATGTCATTAGCACCTGAACTAGTATTAGGGAGTGAAAAAGCCCTACCACCGGAGACGGAAATCGATGAGGTAAGATGGGGTGTGACATTTTAAGGGTCGAACTTTTCTAACCCGTTCCTTCATTCTGAGGAGGCAGCATCGCTGCAGATGTTGGTTATCTGAGGGAAACACGTTACTGCTGTCACACCTATCTACAGTCAGCAGTATGACTTCGCCTTCAAACTTCTACTTTGTAGTTTAGTGACTGACTGAACCTGATAGTTGTCTAACTTTACAATCCAGATTTTCTTCTAAATAGAAGAAAGCTTCATCTTATTATTTCTTTTTTGAATAATTAGTAGCAGTCGCTAAAGCGATCCAGTGAGTTCATAATGTCCGTGTATAATTCTGCACTGGTTTCTAGATTGTACTTATCGTAACAATTTTTGAAGCCATTTCGGTGAAATTTGAAACTTCCCAATGTTTGATAAGTATAAGTATTCAGCAGCATAAGAAAGTTAACAACATTCAGCGTTCAGCGAACCTTTTAGTTAAACCAAATAGAAATCTAAAGGATAAAAGAACAAGGTTATAATAAAAACGGTAGAGTACAACCCAGACAAGAACGCAGAATATATATTTCTAAAGTAACTTTCATCAGCTAGTTAGATATTTGTAGGCTAAAGTAGGTTTTCAGGTATGCTGTCCGCATAAGTGTACGGTTGAATGGTTGCTTGTGATTACTGTGTCCCAACTAAGTCTTCATTCTGACAGATTAGTGACTACCCATAAAAGGATTTGTATGATAATTAGTTTATTTGTACCGCATAAATGGACTACTTATCACTTGAATCAGAGTCTGATGATTGTGAATAATAATCGTTGATTATTTAACTGTGACAATATGTAATTAGTTATGTAGTGAAAGAGAACACAGGTGGGGCAACCGAATTGTATTTAGGGAAAAATTACAGAGTTACTCAGTAAAATTGGAAAACCATATCGTAAATCGTTCATTTGCAAAATAACAGTTCATCATATCGAACTGGACTGTTCCTTTTGCAAAACATCAATCCATTGTCACTATTCATGCGTTTCATACAAATTCCATTGTTTTCTAACTCTTCCTTTCTTGATCTTCTCCCCATCTTCGGATGCCAGACATTACGTTGACGCTCACGTCATATACTACTTATAAGTAGCTCGCACCACAGCACCACATACTTCAAGCATATTTTACACCTTTCACTTTTAACGTTTTTTGACTCTTTTGGGAGCCCTGGTTATACTCTGTAACCAATGGAGTTCGTTTGATGTGAGAGATTAACTGACTAATGGTACTGAATGATGGTTTCACAATATCGCTAGTTGGTTGGCGTCAGGAATTAACTATTAACTTGAAGTTCGGTGGTCTAAAGCTTTGAAGTTCTTCACCTGACCCGAAGGTTCTGAGGTCGATCCTCGGTAGGGTTTTGGATGCACATTACTGAATCCCATGTTAAGAACAACTATCCTATGCTTCCTAGTTTTCAGTGATTGTTTCCAAGGTATGTGAATAAGTATTAAAAGTTAACGTGGAGAATATTCAATAGTCACTTATTATTTTATTTATGTGTTGTAAATGACACATTTATACACATGCAATGTTAACTTTTACGACTTTTTTTGCTTATATTTCTTCATAGGTTTCTGCTAAAACGTCGATTGTTCGTATTATTTTCATTGTTCAGTAGTTTATCACTTCTAATTTTTATCTTTTATTCTGATAAATGGTTTCTAACTTATCATTTAACAAATTATTTTATGTTGGCAAAACAATCCTCGAAAGCAGTTAATTATTCATGTAACAATAACAATAACACTTATGGTACAAATGATCATATCAAATTATATCCTCTTGTTGTTTACAACCGAATCCCTAAAACAGGGAGTACATCTTTGATAAATTTAGTTTACCAGTTAATTGAAAAAAATCACAGTCATACACATGTAATACATTTGAACATTTCTTCAAACAAACATTATTTAAATCGTATAAATGAATTATACCTTATAGATAATTTAACACATTGGACTAGTATGCATCCATTAATGATACATGGGCATTTTGCTTTTATAAATTTTATCAAATATGGATCATTACTTAACCCAATTTATATTAATATGATAAGAAATCCATTAGATAGATTAGTGTCTTACTATTACTTTCTACGATATGGTGATGATTATAGGCCATATCTGATACGTAAACGTATGTTTGATCCTGTGGCTCGCAATCAAACATTTGATGAATGTGTACTTGTAAATGGTAGTGATTGTAATCCACAACTTCTTTGGGTTCAAGTAAGTAAAACCGATTTTATTTCTGAACGTAAAATATTTGAATTTGAAAAATAGTCTTAACGAATAATGATAACTTTAAATAGGCTCACACCAGTTTGTTGGACAAGACACTTGGGATCATTTACGTTTGAATCACTGAGTTTATTTCAAACATAATTCATAAATTTGATGTCTTTTATATACTAGATACTATTCATTTGAAAGTGTGTCCTCTACTCCAGCGTATTTTCACAATCTCCTCAACTGAGAGTTGATTTCTTTCTCTGCTGGAGTAAATTGTTGTTGATTATCTCTGGTCAATGAATCTTGATTATCGGGGTTAGGCAGCTGTTCACAAGTTTCAGTACATATTTAGTGGCGGTTGTGGTAGTTCGCTTTTCAGCTCTGTTTTAACATTGATGTTGGCAACACTGACTTTGTTTTGACATGGCAATTCTTTTGAGTTCTTAATATTCCTCAATTGTAAGAATCATAATTTTGCTTTTCCGATTTACACTTTTATATCTTTGCAGGATACTTCCAGTTTATCGGTGACACTGACCAGCTGTCGTAAAACCTTTCACTTCTTTAAATAGTTTTCGTCGTTTTTTTTTGTCAGGGTTCTTTTTCACGAAATGGCACTGGTAATCCTATCCCCACCCTTTCCCTTTTATTGAGGCTTGGAACTGGCAGTAACCCTAAGCGATTATAGATGGAATTGATAAACTCCTAACATTCGTTGTGTAATTTGGAGCGCAACCGTTAGCAGTTTACAGAACGTTTGTGTCTACCATAATTTGGGTCCAAATTGACTCATTAAATAATGCTCAAAACTATCATAGCTAGATGCGTGACTGAACAGTATTGATGTAACTTTGTTGTCACTGGTTCATTAGTTCTGATATAAAATCACCACACCTATATTGTTTTCCTCATTTTAGACTGACTGAGCAGTGACCGATATGATTTTTGTCTAGTGGTTTCCGGTGTACAACTGACTCTCCTCATGATCTTTTCTAGTTTTGAGATCTCTTATCTAGGATTCACTGTAGAATCTCAGACGAAACAGAGGTTGAGTTTAAAATTTTTCAAGCTATTTACATTAAAAAGAATTTTCTCCGTACTATATCTTTTAGTACGTTACCATATGGTATTTTTTGTCCGTATATATTTTAATCAATCGAGAAGAATATCTATTAATCGTTTGCTATCTTGTAGCATGATGATAATTTGTGTTTAATAGTTCATAATTTATTAGTTCAGTTGATCGCAAGTTCTTCTAGTAGTCAAACCATTTGGACACTCCTTTTGTACGACTAAAGCTTAAGTTTGCATGTTAAAAATATAGGTGAGAAATAACTTTGGTAAATACATACCCTCTACTTAAATTAAATTATTAGTAGACAAACGTATGTTATCTAAAACTTTCACTAATTTTCTATCGATTCACTGTATTTCTGGATTTTGAAGGTGCCGTTTTTCTGTGGACAAGCTGTGTATTGCAAAATCCCTGGTAATCCAGTTGCTGTAGAAACTGCTAAACGTCATGTGATTGATAATTATCTCATTGTTGGCTTGACAGAAGAATTTGATAAATTCGTCGATTTACTAGAAATACTCGTACCATCATTCTTTAGTGGTGCTCGTAATCTAATATCTCGTTCAAAGGATCAGTGGTATTTAAGACGTACAAATTATAAATTACCAATTAGTCAAGCAACAATTAAAATATATCAGAACAATCCGATTTGGCAAGCTGAACAAGAGTTTTATAACTTTGTACGTACAGAATTTCACACATTAACCAATGCTCTTCAAGGAGAATTTTCACATCAAACAATTTCAGAGAATTCTGCACTGTATAAAGGAAAGATTATTTTCGATAAAATTCGTCCAAAACTTGGTGCCTAACCCTGATTACTTTCAATGCTCCAATGTGCAATGATAGATGTCCCAAAAAGTTATTTGTTTGAATTGTATTTTCTTTTTTTTTAACCGCTTTTATTTACTTTCAGTTGCATTTACTCTCATTCAGATTACCCGGTACAATTAAAAATTTATGAGTTATTTCATCCGGCTTCATGCATGTTTAATAAATCTATTGAAATTTTACAAAATAATTTGAAGTTATTTGTTACTTTTTTTCAGAAATAACAATCTTATGCATTGAATAAAAAAATTTTTGCTGACTTGCTAAGGAATGTTTATCAGTTTTGTAATTCATCAATAATAGGAAGGCAGATCTGTGCATTTCAGCTACTTAGATATTTGTAGATTGATTACATGTGCTGAATATTATTTAACACTGAATTAAAATATTGTATACAAAGAAATCAATGTTTGACCAATTGATGTAGTAAATTGACTGTTTTCATTGAGTTCACATCTGGTTTTACTTCATTTTTAATAGAATTATAACTGATTTGAAAGTCAACTATTGTTAGAATTTTATATACACTGTTTTCGAAACATATTTCATGTATGGTGGAATCGGTCAGATGATAATATGGCGAGTGATAATAGATTGGTCAATTAGAATGCGAATGATATGAATAATTGATCTATTTTTTTCATTCTTATGATATGTATTCACATCTTAAGAAGGATTATAGATGCCAAATTATATAATATGTTAGATATGTGTTCACACAGTAAGTTATTGTTAGATACAATTCAGTTTAGTTTCAATAAATATGACGCTTAGTATAACTATAAATAAATCATATAAAAATGGTGTATTCCCAAATCATTTTCGATTTATTTTGGGAGCCGAATCAATCCTTATCACTAGACTTTGGTTTTTGCACTTCGCGCCCTTTCTTTGTGTTCAAATTGCCCTGTAGAATTAGTTTAAACCAGCATGAGAAACTATATAATGAGTTTATTTTATTGTGCAACTATTGTTTTTGTTTCACTTAGATTTTAATCTTAAGAATGGATCTGTGAGTGTAAAACTGATTTATTAGTGATAAAAATTATGTGTTCGAGTGGTGGCTGCTCACTAGACCGTGTTATTAATGTAAGCTCTCAAAGGATTTGGAATTAAAGATAAAACGTCTGGTCAAGAAAATAGGG